GAACATTCTTCTCGCTGTTACTCTCCGCGCGATTATGGCGCGTGAAAGGTCGTGGCTGAGTTTGAGAAGCAAGTGACAAATGGTTGACTAAAACTCGTGTGTTCGCGACGATTTGCTTTTGGAAGACATGATAGATGACGAGCAGCAGACTCGCTTATGGAGAAAGCTACACCTAATGGATGATTTTGCTCTGTAAAATGAGAGTGTGAAATAGATTCGATTTTCAGAGAATCGATTGGATATGTAAAGTATTCTCGGAAATATTGTAGCAGTAGGTTTCTTTTTAACCCTTTGCACTCGAGAGGTGACTCTCGGTCACCATTTGATTTGATATAACAAAATTACAAAGTGTTATATATAATATTAACCCTTTGCACTCGAGAGGTGACTCTCAGTCACCACTTGATTTGATTTGGAAAATTATAAAGTCTCATATGTAACATTATAATATGAGGAAACATATATAAATTAAGAAGGAAACTTATTTTATTTCAATATTATGTTATATATGAGACTTTAAGCTTTGCACGATGCATCAATATGTGGAATATTGAAATAAAATAACTCCTTCTTAATTTATATATGTCTTCTCATTAATTAATTTCAAAGAACATCGTCCGTACCTCATCGGAGAATATTGAATATTTCTAGTGAAAAACTCTCAAGTGCAAAGGGTTAAGTTTTGTATAATACATCAATATGTGAAATATTCGTATAAAATGACTGTTTCTTAAGTTACGTATGTCTTCTAATTAGTTCGTTTCAAATAGTGTCGTCTCGGAAACTGTCGAATGTTTCTAGCGAAAAGCTTCCAAGCGACAAAATTCCATGCTACCTTTCTTCATCTCCAAACCATTAACCAAACATCAACTCGCGTTTCTCGGAATCAACGGCAAGTTTATCAGACACGAATAGTTGGCTCGAGCTGGAATTGATTACCGCTGGAACGCAACAAAGTAACTTCGATGCACTGTCTTCTGGCCGAGCAAGAAACAGTCGGACGCGCTGCTCGATGAGAAAACTTTCAAGAATAATTCCGTAAATTGATATCCGCGAAACTTTCTCGATTTATGACGGGCCGTATATCGTTCTGTATTTACTGGCCGAGCGTTTCCCTTAATCCCGCGAAGACTCGCCGGCGAGTTCGGTCCTCTGTTACATAATTCATAAAACGCGTTCGAATCTCGGTGAAACTTTGCATACAGGTAATTCAATCCCGATTTCATGCGGCCCCGGCGAGAGAGGAGGAGAGAGAGAGAGAGAGGCTATCGCGGCGTGACGCAATCCCCCGTGTCCCCCTCTCCTTCTCTCTCCCCTTCAATCTCCCGGTGCCTTTTAATCGCTTCCCACGTAGCCTTTGTTGCCATCGTGTTCGCTGTCCGTCTCTCGCGACCGACACGAAATTATTAGGTTGTCGCGCACGGAGTCGCAGGCCTTTTTAATGACGCCGTACGTTATCCCCGGGCCCCGGCTGAATTTTATTAGCCGAAATAATTCCTTCGGGGCCCGCTCGCCTCGGCCGGCGAAACACCGGCGCAATTATCCGGCAATTACTTCGGGAGCATTGATATTATTACCGCGGAGAATCGCTCGAAAACAGCCGCGCTGACCGTCGCCGCTTCGACGTAACGAATCGTTCGAATTTATATTTGCGAAACAAAGTGTGTCGAACAAACATGATACCGAGGTATCGTTAAACAGCTGAAATTGGCACGTACGCGTCCCGTTGCTCAAACAGGTGTCAAAAGTCGTGTCTCTCTTTCCAGCTCGTTTACGCTCCGTTTCCACTTTTATCGGAAGCTTCCACGGCGGATCGCGAGGAACGGTTAACTCGAGATTGAGGGGTCAGAGCACCCCCGTTTCTCGCCGAGCGGCGCGTTAATGGCCGCGATAATAACGATGCCAATCTTTACCGTCGCGCGTCGTATAACGCGCGGCTGTAAAGCGATAAACCGTGGAACGAGTCCGTCTCCCCCGGCGCAAACGGGGAGGAACCTTAAAACTTTCCTACGACGCGTCGTAATATTTAGCCGGGCGCGGGGAACCGTTTAAAAACGCCTCCCCCGTCGCGGGATCGGCGAAAAATGGCGTTCGCCCGGTTGCGCGTCTCGGACCAGTAAAAAGTAAATAAAACTTGCCGCGTAAATTATTCATGAGTCGTTCGTCGTCCGCTCGCGAGCGAGCGACCGCCGACGGGAGGATGAAGGGCGGGAGCGAGAGACGAAGCATCTCGCGGACACGCGAAAATTACCGGCGCGCGGTGCCGTCTTAAAAACGGAGCCCTTGTCCCGCGGCGGCCCCTTGAAACGAGGAATTAACGCCTGCCGGTTGCGCCGATCCCGCGGGAGGCGATAATCCCCGCCGAGAGACGCGGCGACAAAGTTTCGAATTAGCGAACGCTGACGAGCGCCGTTTCCTTCCCCTTTTTTTCCCCGTTTCGCCGTCGCCTTTTTGCCAGCCCTTCAGCGAGACGGAGGAGCGTGTAACACAGGAACGTTTGATGTTCACAGCGAACCGCCAGATGGACGTGGCCCTCTACGTCGGGCTGACTGTCGCCTGTGTGGTGATCGGCGGCCTCGCCGTTTTCCTGGCGAAGCTTCTCAGGCGCAAAGGTCGGGACCATTCCCTTTACTCCATGGCCCGTAACGGTAAGCATCTCGCCAGATGAAGAGGGAAAAAAAGAAAGAGGCACCGCTCGGCCCCCTTTCCCTCGCAAACAAAGGAGCGAAAGGTGACGCGCGGGATGTAATTACCGAGCTCGTTACAAGCGTTCGTTTTCCGTTGTTTTTACCTTTCGGAGGGGTTACGCGTGGGCGTGTGTGTTGCATCGCGGATCGGAGAGTGTCCTGATTCTTCTCACCTGCGCTCGGTGCCGAGGGACCGGGCGCGATGAGGAATGATACTATTTCGAAGCTTGATCGACGATCACGTGCTCGCTGCTTTCATCCGCGGGAACGGGTCACGGAAACGATTGTAATAATAGAATGGTACATACGTCTTTGGCGCTGGGCTAGCCGTGACGTATTTGGGACACGCTCGAGATTGGCTCTATTGCACAACCGTTTTGCGGAAACGAGGCGTCCGATGGAGCGAGCCGCGCCGGAGTGGAGATAGTTAAGCGGTCGGGCAACTGTTCCTTCACGCGCTGACAAATCTATTAAGCTATTTAGAACTGATATTTCGAATTGATCAATCTATAAACCTCGCTAGACTAGACTTTCAACAACCTATTAGCAGAAAGCGCGAGAAAATCCTCTGTCACCTCTTCAAGCCAAACTTGTAGCCTATCAAAGTAGCTTCCCTCAGATCGGAGACGTTCCCGTCGTTCACGAGTCCCGAGCATTCATCTCGGATTCCCCAGAATGATCTCCAACGGTCGCGTTCAACGGTAATCCCTCGGAACCGATGAAAGCGGCGAGCAGACTCGCGTGGGCGTCGGAATAGTATCAACAGCGGCGTCTGTCCGCAGCGCGCAGAGATACCCACGGGCCGTGGCTCGGCGGTGTGCGTTTCAGAATTCCAGCCGGAGTTCTTCCCGGACCAGGACAAGAAGCTGAGCTTGCAGCCGGACGTAACGGCGACGAGCGTGCCGGCCTGCTACGAGTATCCTTTCGACCCGAAGCTGTCGATGTCGAGATCCCTCTCCGAGCACCATTACGACGTGCCCCACCTGTCGATCGCGCCCCAGCCGTCCCCGATGTCGCCGACCCCGAGCACCTCCACCCAGGAGTCATGCAGCGACAAACAGATCCATTCCGACTGCGAGAACAGCGTCACTAGCTCGTACCCGTCCTCGGACTCGACGTACAACGTCGCCTCGGAGAGCGTGCGGCTGCCGAAGCTGGAGACCGGCAACGTGGCCGGCGCGGCGGTGAACACGCGCGGCGCCCTGCTCGTGCTACCGGACGCAGGTATATCGATGTCCGTGCCCGAGGGAGCCGTGCCCAAGCCACTCAGGGAGGAACTCTACCTGGCGGTGCTCAACGAGGATCGCTTTAGGCCTCGATTACCCGGTAAGTGATGCGTGCATTATTAATTGCGCCCGGTGCGTGTGACGGTTAACCGTCAGCCCCCTCTTCCCTCACGGATTGCCACGGATTATCGATCGGATTCAATCGACGCCGTCCACCGGCGGTTCGGTTAATGAATATTGCCATTCGTAGACCCCGGTTTTTAATGGTCAACCGTCGCGATTTACATTTGCCGGCTGATTTTCGGAGATTTGAAGGTTTCATGTGTTAATCTCTGGAGTTTGATACGATAGTAGAACGTTAGGGTGTTATTGCTAAGAGGCTTCTATCTTGGAAGCCTCGACAATGAGAATCAATGATTCTATATAATAGTGGCATCCGTAGACTTCGGTTTTTAATGCTCAGTTGTCGCGATTTAGATTTGCCGGTGATTATCAGAGATTTAAAGGTTTCATATGTTAATCTCTGGAGCTTGATACGATAATAGAACGTTAGGGTGTTATTGCTAAGAGGCGTCTATCTTGGAAGCCTCGACAATGAGAATCAATGATTCTATATCATAATTTACACTTCACAAGCGAAAATTCCTCGATCAATTTCCACCTTCGATCTCGCCGAAGATAATCCCTATACACCGGTCGGTTTCCGCACAGTCTCCGCCATGTTACCGCGCTCGCCGCAGAACTATAAGGGGCTAAGCGGGTGAACCGCGCAACCTGGCCGCGAATCGCGGCCCCGATCCCCGATTACACGGCCCGTACTCGAGGCAGTACCATTTGTCTCTCGGCCCGCAGATGGTATCACGCAATTATCCGCGGTGGTGACGTGCGGCCCATCCTCGGCGACCTTCAACAAGCCCGTGATCCTGCAATTCGAGCACTGCGCGATGCTGCACCCGGTTACATGGGAACTCAGCGTCTGGGCCTGCGACGGTCTGAGCGTCGAGGACGGCATGGCGGTCGCCTCCTCGAAGGACCACCAGTCGATCACGTGGAACAGGGTGCTGACCCTCGGCAACGAGACGATCAACACGCCGCTGTTCACGCAGCTCGACCACGCGGAGGCGTTCATCGTGACGGAACAGCTGCGCGGCTACGTGCTGGCCGGGCAGAGCTGCGAGAACACGATGGCCACGAAGAGGCTGCGATTGGCGTTGTTCGCCAGCCAGGCGGGACAGTGCTGCGTCAGGGTGTACGCGGTCGAGGACACCAAGGCCGCGATGAAGGCGATCGTCGACAGGGAATCGCAGATCAGGGGCTACCTGCTCGACAAGCCGAGGACGCTGTTGTTCCAGGACAACGGCGAAACCTTGTGCGTCAGTCTCGAGGAGGTCGGCAACGAGTGGCAGAGCAAGTCGCCCACGGAGCGGCAGGAGATCTCGTTCAGGGACATCTGGAACTGCCAGGAGAACGCTAAGCACGTGACCTTCGGGCTGGACGCAGCTTTCGGGCCTAGCACCACCAGGAGCTACAAGCTGCAGGTCTCGCAGGGCAACTCGGACACCAGGCAGGTGTTCAGGATCGTCTACGACGGCGCGAAGCAATTGATCTCCTCCGGAAGCGTGACCAGGCCGCTCAGAGAGGTGACCGTGGTCAGCAGCGGGCATGCTAATAACGCGACTACCGACTCCACCACTCTGAGACCGTTCCGGTTTACCAGGTCCCTGAGGAAGCAGCTATGCCAGTGTCTGGACCCGCCAAACGCCCTCGGCAACGACTGGAGAATGCTGGCACAGAGGCTCCAGGTTGACAGGTTAGCAATCTTCCAGCGTGTTATTCAACCGTGTTTGCTCGCTACCGGTCACCGACGGCGGCGTCCTCCGGGGACGATAGCTGTTTCTTTGAACGTACCCCCGGCTCGTCGGGCCTCTGCTCTTTTAAAGGACTTCCCGGCGGTCGCCGCTGCCCGACCGGTAGCTTAATCTTCCCGCTCCGCTACTGGGTGTTCATTGCGCTGCGCCGAGTCCTGACAGCGGGGGTTTTTGTCGGTAACGCGGACGACTTGGGTAGTCGTTTGTTCTCCTTATGTCGCGGCGGATCGATGTAACTGTAGATCATTGACAGGTGGATTGCAGGGGATTGGACTGTAACTTGGATAGCGTCCGCTAGCTTCCATTGGGGATCACTTTGCTAATGTTCAATTTTCTGAATGATAGTGTTGCGGTCAATGCTATTGTTGTTCTTTCTAACCAAACACTGCAATAGTCCATGCTTCCCCACAGTGGAATTACTCCTCAATTCCTCCGATTGAAAACTTCCTTAGGGACACATACTTCGTAGCTCAACAGCTTAGAGTCTCGATCGAATATTAATTACTGTACACAGTAGAACTCCGCGCACACGAACTCTATTTGTACAAACCAAACATCAACGATCCCCGATTACCTCCAGCTGAACTATTATACGAACTCGTGCGTCGATGCACGAACTGCACTAACAGGTTCGTGCAACCAGAGTTCCACTGTACCCGAGAATCCTTCGCAGGAAGCTCTACCCACTCGCTACCAGCACCAGTAAACTTCATGGCTCAATATTTTATGACAAAATATATCGCCCGTACAAATAACATTCAAGAAATCGCGATTTCCTGACATAACTACACGAAGAAGTGTAGTAATTTACTCTTCGCACGAAACATGAAATATCGATTGTCGCACATTCGACGCTGGTAGCGACGCGTTACTCCCTCGATCGAAGAAGACACGTTCTCCGGTTGGGTTCCAGGTACATCAACTACTTCGCAACGAAGTCCAGTCCGACTGAACACATCCTGGACCTGTGGGAGGCGAAGCACCACGAGCCGACGGCGGTGACGGATCTGCTGAACCATTTGCGGGTAATGGGCCGAACGGACGCGGCGACGATCCTCGAGGCGCAGCTGGGTCCGTGGCTCTGAACAACCGGAAGCGGGGACCCTCGGGACACGTCCAGCGGTGAGTGAAAGCCGTGTGGCGCCACGGCCGAAACTCGTGCGAACGGTTCAGTGAAATCAGTGGGTGATCCGGGCGTCCAGCGGTGAACACACTCGCGGAGTAACCTTGTTCGGCCGCCCTCCGCGGCGGACTCATCGAAACACTGCCTTAATTGTGCGCGGTCGCCGCGCGGCTTTTCTTGTACATACCGTTTGTAAGAAACAAATGTTCAGGGGCGCGGGGGGGTATATACATAAAAAGGAGGACCTCCGTCCGAGCGATCGGACAGGGGGGACCGTAATGTAATAATCGTGAAGCGAGTTGTAAGACTAGAGACTGTGCGTTTAGATGGATATATGTGTACATACGTACTACGGACCCGCGAGGAGGCAGACGAGAAATGGACCTCGCGTTCATCTCGGCCGGGATGTTTATATATATATAAATAAATGAATAAATATAAATATATATATAAATAGGTAGTTAGGTAGAGGACATCGAGTAAGGAACGAGCGAAAGTGAACGACGACGAGGAGGAGGGGGGAGAGATATCGTTCCAGCGATATAAAATAAACGAGACGAATAGCTGATGGTAAATGGAACGCGTTTTATCGATTTGTTATATATATAAATGTATATGAGAAACGGAGAACACGCACGAGTGAAACACACGTACGCGACAGTGTGAGAGAGGGAGAGAGAGAGAGGGGGAGAGAGAATGGGAGAGAAAGTTAACTGAGTTTTCACGGAGGGATGGATCGTGCCAAAATTTCACACCTCTCGGTTTTCGAAGGATGAACGTTTCCGTTGATGTTTCTATTCAGAGTTTGTTGAAAATGCCGTGTTTCTTTCGTGCACGTCGACAATACACTCCGCGCCGATACATCGATTTTTTTAACAAAGACGACGGGAACGGGGGACGGAGGAGGAAAATAGGAAACGGAAGTGGGGTTCGGGCTGGGAGCGAATCGCGCGCGGACGTTCGATCGCGTAGAACGACCTCGACCCGCGGGGAATCCGACGACTTTCAATCGACACAAGTTTATTTGGAAGATTGTATATTTGTTACTTTCGACGAATAAAATATTCTTGTATACCTCGAGCGGTTGTACGCACGTTTTCACCCTGTCACCGCGATCATCCTTGTTCCTGGTTTTCCAAACTCTTAACCCCTTAAGCAAAACGAAGAAGAATTACGCGCTTATCTGAAAAAATGAATGATTGATCGTTGAAGAAATTGGTACCATTTTGCCTTTTAACCCCTTGCCCTACAACGAGTGAGACTGGTGAAGATTTCCATGATTCAACAAATATATATATTACTCAGTTCATTCGAGTTCAAAGTAAACATTATTCCCCTGTAATCAATTATTACACTTAAAAGGAAATATAGGCATATGCTTAGAATTTTTCTCTTTTTCTAATAAATTATTAATGACGAACGTATCGATCAGAGTTGAGAGAGAAATCATAGGCCAAGGGGTTAATTGTCGCGTTTCTCCGTTGCGATCGAAGTGAACGAGATCGAGAGGAAATTGCTCAAGGTAAGTTGACTTATCTTTTATCATAGGTTCAATCTATTTGAAATTGATTAATGAAGTTGTGATATGATAATACAATTAAATGAAAAGCAATCGGATACGTTCGAGTTTGGGGATATAAATATTACCAAGATTCCCCGGATGTTCCTAAGTTTCCGTCTAAAGCTATCATATTTCCCTACAAGAAATTCGTGTTCGCGGTTCCTTGGAGGGTTCACCTAATATTCGCGACCAGCGACGGCGAAACCTCCCCTAAATACGAAACCTCCCAGGGCCAGACGTGCAACACGATACGAGGCCGCCTCTAATGCTCGAAGAAGGAATAAGAATCTTACTTTCACCGGGAAGGAATGAGTCAGCATTGATCGTGTGTACAGCCGCATTTCTGGCCTGTAATCGTCGCAAAGTTTCATGGCCGCCCATCACGTTCTACTATTATCGAGTTTCGATTCCGTGATATCGCGTAACTACTGAAACCGCGATGCGTGCACTTAATACATCCTCGAATTAGCTGGAAACCTCCACCGCGGCAGGCAACGTTCCTGGAACTCCGGGACAAAATTGCAACCGTGTAAAACAAGTTCGCGATGCGATAAAATTGAAAACGCGATAAGGCCGATTCCGCTAAACCAAACAGTCGCGCACGCTATTTCATGTATTTCCTTCGATTCTCGTTCGAAGGAATCGATCGGACACTACCCTTTCCGTTCTCGTAATAGTTTCGACTATCATTTCCATGGATACACCTGTTAACCGTTTGCACTCGAAAATTTCCCATTAGAAATACTCAACGTTTTCCGGTGAAATATAGAGGACGTTCTTTGATACCAATCAATGAGAAAACATACATAAATCGAGAAACAAAGCTTAACCTTTTACACTCCGTAGGCGCCACTCAGTCGTCGATTGATTTGACACAGCAAAGCTATAAAGTTTGATATTTAATAAACTGTGCATAATGCATTCATATGGAAATATTGAAAGAAAATAGTCTCGTTCCTCAATTTATGTGCGATTTCTTAAGTGTCCAGTGAAAAACTTCTGGAGTGCAAAGGGTTAATATTATATATGACCTTATAAACTTATAATTCAACTCGTCTACTCAACAGATTCATATCACACATAACCCTTTGCACTCGACAGTTTTTCACTAAAAATCTGCAATATTTCACAGTGAGACGTAAACGACGTTCTTCAGCACTAACAAACGAAGAAACGTACGTAAATTAAGAATTATAGCTATTTTATTTCAATATGTCGCATTTCGATACATTGTACGAAGCATAGTATTATGCATAAGATTATAATTTTGCTATATGTTTGTAATATTATATATTATGTTTGTAGTACTAAGTTGCAAACAAATTATTCAACTACTCAAACAGCAAATCAGTACATAATCTCCTTATTCCCTATTATCCAGACATTCGATGTCTAATTTTCAGAATCTACAAAACGTTTTATGTTCAGAGAATCTTCAAAGCGTTAAAACCAGAAAAAACACGAATCATCCAATCTACGAATGTTGCGAACACCCACGAACTACCATCGAGACGTCAGGAATCATTTCAATATCAAACACCGCCACCCCTTACCAGGGAAACCAAACAATTCCCCGTCTAACAGGTTCGCGGAACCCAATTGTCGCGTTTCCCGTGCAAATTCGAAGCGGCGCGCCGCGAATTCGCGTCGGTGGCGGGCATCACGCAACACCGATCGCCGTAGGACCGATTCCCGGCGATCTATCACGGAACACCGTGCGTCACGGTCTATCACGGCGGCGACACAATGGGCTCGCCGCCCCGCAAATGCATTTTATCGACGTATCGCCGATAATTTCCAGCAAAAGACTGTCTCGCCTGCCTCCATTCACCGGGCGCGGCAATTGGTTCCAGGGACGGACGCGTTCCGTTTCCGACGGAGACGTAACGCGTTTCCCCGGTCCACCCCCGAGCCCTCTCCTATCGTCTTTATCTCAGCTGGCTCTGAGAGGTTGCGGAATATTCCTTCGATTTTTCCCGAACGGGCGCGCCGCCTCGGGAAGAGACGGGTGACAATGGACGTCGAACGTTGCAATTTCGAAATGTCGATACCAGTCACGTGTGGCGCCCTTTCTCCGCCCGCTGAGAGCGACGCTTCTCCCGGCCGGCCCGTGTAACGCGCTTATCGCGCCACTTCCCTGTCTGCGGCTCGCAGGAATTGTCTTCGACTTAGGGCGTCGTCGTTCGGATGCTTCGACGGTCGCTGGGAATTGTTTATTTTCTGTTTTCGTGGGTACCAGGCTGAATTATTCTTTGTTAGTAAGTTAATTGTTGTTTGACTTTGGAAAGTAGATCAGATAGACGTCTGGATAAGTTTATACTATATACCAGACAAGAGTGACGTAGAACATCATCAGTTACATGAAATTGATTCAATAATCGTATTAGATGGTCTATGTTAATTTACTAAAGTTTCAACTTTAGAAAGTAGATCAGATCGTCTGCAAAGTATTATAAGTTTATACTATATACCAGACAAGAGTGACGTAGAATATCATCAGTTACATGAAATTGATTCAACAATCGCATTAGGTGGTCTACGTTAACACTAGGTTTACGGTCATTTGTTGCACACTTAATTCCATTGTTCCTAAAAGAATTGATGCTCGTTTATTTAGATTGTGGAAACTGGAGATTTGATAGTAGGTAATTGGGGTACTTGTCAGTATGATCGCATCAATAAAAATCGGCGTAAACAAAATAATATTTCTAAAATCCAATATGCGTCAATTTGACGCGTTCCGTAAACCTAGTGTTAAATGATTAATAATCGTCCAACGGATAAAGGGAACGTTAGAAAATATTCGTTCCCCGTTCGCTATTCTTGGCATAGTAATCAAAGAGTCGCTTCCAAAGGCGAATGCGATGAGATTTTCCACGGGAATCGAGTAATTTTCCCATCCCATTCGACGATCTCCTCCAGAATGAAAGGGACTATGGAATCAGACGATCCTCTAACTTCGTTAGAGCGCCAGGTTGCGGCCAATTGTGCTCCGGCTCCACCCACGCCCGACGTTACAGCTCTCGAATGGCTTTTGTGGTCCTGATTCGTCGAGTTTTGGAGTACAGGTTCGCCAGGTGCCGGCCGGAGGACCTACGAATGGCAGAGCGCACCTTTCTTCACTCGCCGAAGACTCGGGTCAACTCTTTTTGGTCCTCGAACCGGGCAACGCCTACAGCTGCGGGTTCCACGGGTCGCTCGAGTTCGGTTCTCACGTTTTTCTGAGATATCTTTCGACGCCGGAGCCCGGTGCAACTGGTGACGGTCACTTTTGACTCCCTCGAGCCGGCGTTCGCGGCGGATTTTTTGCGAAGGACGTACAATCGGACGGGAACGTCGAGGTTAGGCAAATCGGAGAGTCGCCTCTTCGAATCAGTCACAGGACGTGAAATATTATTTATCTCCCCGGTGTAAAACCGGAGGAAATTATTTCCTGCCGTCTTCAAGATAGTATCTCGAGCGACGTAGCCCGGGAGCTCCTCTCGGCTTTCGAAAGGGAAATAATTAAAGCCCCCTTTCGCATGGCACGGACATCGAGAATTAATTGGACGACACACTCGATCCAGTTTAACTCGCGAAACCCCGACACGACGATTACGCGGACGACACAGGCCGAAATTAAACGGGACATCTACGCACCGCTCGGGACGTCCTCCGCGAATATCAGCGGAGAAGCTTTCGAAGTTTTTATTAGCAGGAAATGAAATCGTCAAAGGGAGGCGGCGGCGGGGGGACGAAGCGTCACGGCGGACGGGGCGTGTCGCGATATTAATTTAAATTCCACGGTTAAAAGAGCAAACAACGCGATGGAAATGGCTCGATAGGTGAGCGCGGAGGGACCGGAGAGAAAAAAGAGAGGAAAACCGAAAAACACGGTTACGTTTCTCACGCTTGCGTCCGAGAGAAGTTACACGCGAGAGGATCGAAAAAGCGGTGGAGCGGGGCGAGGGGGGCGGGTTGGAGAGCGGCAGCCGCGCCTACTAGAAAATTAAAAACCGTCTCCACTTCATCCTGCTTCACGGAAGACCTTGGAGTGCCGCTCTTAAGCCATGTCCTCACTGGAGCAGCTTCGAGGGACTTTTTGCTGCGCCTTGCCGGTGCGTGTTCCGAGGTATTTCCAACCGGCGTCCACTCACGGAAACATTTTATCTGAGTCGAAGCAACTTCATCTTAACACGCTGAACGCCGGCTAAGTTTCAGCTACTAGAAATGGGAGTGTCGGTGATTGTATTAACACTTTCACGTCTGCACGGTTCACAAAAATTTTCTCTGTTGTCGGAACTTTTCGCAAAGTTGTTCATTAAAATGTACAAATATGAAATATAAAATTCATTACAGCATAATAAACTTAGCTGCATTTTATCAAATGATACGTGTAAATATGTGTAATTTCCAATAGGACCGCGTTGAAGTCACCGCAAATAATGAACGGGATGCAAATTGCACCACGTGAAAGGGTTAATATATTTTTGAACGTCAATCAAACCGAAATTTGTAACTTGCGAAAAAGAATAAGTTC